TTCCTTTCTTCCGCTACATGGTTTCTTTTTTTCTCAAAACTATGACTACGGTTGATTGGTGGTACCCTATTATCGTTTCTATTTCCCGTGAACATTCCTTTACTTCATTTAACGTCACGATTTTAATATTTTTTGACGAGGAAGGTTTTTTGATACTGGTCATAATTACAGATTTTATCCTGACATTAGTTAAAAGTGAACTGAGTAACATTTTTTAAGTCTTCTTATAATTTTAATCTAGTAAAGATACAGCGTTATAAACATAAGTATCAAAAGAAAAAGGTGATGTAATTTCTATGAACGCAACAGTATTTTTCTTCATAGGTCAGTTTATTTTGAAAAATCCTGTATGATGTATGCTACCTTGTTTGGGAATTCATAACCTTCCATACGCAAAACCTCATCTTTAACTTAATTTTGAGTATATGTGACTAAAGCGCACTCGCTCAAACTCCACTGGCTTTAGCACCAGTGACGCGGTTGAGAGAGTAGTGTAGGGATCTCTTGGAATCCTGTTTTTCCTTCTATTGTCGGAGGAAGAAGCCTGGCTTGGGGTTCCCTGCCTAATTACGTATATTGTATATAGGTATGACTGTGTTTTTATGTTTTTTAATTTACTTATCTTTAGGTTATTTTATTTTTTTTATTGTACATAGTTTATTATTAGTTTATTATTCTTTTATTTTTGTTATATTTTATTTTCTGCACATATGATGTGAATGAGTTCATAATCACGATAATTATAATTATCGTCAACGTTACAGATTATTATATTTCTAAAATAAATAAATAAAAAAAAAACTTCGTTTTCAATCTTCTGAATATTTGGAAGAATTAAATAAGTTACCAATCTTATTCTACTGTTATTTCAGCGTTGTTATTTATATGCCTACAGTTCAAATACGAAAAACACACGGACATCTAATTAAATATTATTTCATTATTTTATATGTTTATTTATTATGAAATAAGGCTCTTTTTGGACTACACGCAAAAAGGATGGTTGGATAAAATCGCTTGAAGATTGCTTACCGGCCGAAACGTATTTATGAAAATTGAAATAAATATGGTGAAAAAATAAACAGAACCTTATTTTATAATATTAAAAAAATTCATCTAAAACAAGTAAATATGGATATGTTTATTTATTTATTTTATATGTTAATCGTATCGATCTTGATACGATTGATCATAATACAGAAATAGTATACAATATTGATCTGTCATTATTCACTAAAACATATCAAATCGCTTTTAACAATTGGCTAATTTATTCTTTCCTTAATTTAGAATCCCGTTGAAGGCGACTGTCTGTTTGAACACGGCTTAGGGGAAGGGATCTCCAAAGAGGTCGAAAATTAAGGAGCCGAGAAATCAGGCCGATGATGAAAGACAATTGCAAAGAGAATTAATTAAGATTATGACTAGTCCCCTTGATTAGGCCACGCCCACACTTTTCTCTCATTAATTAAATACCAATTAATTGATGTCGAATGTCGTGAGGGGGTGGAAGAGTAAAAATAAGTGAAATTAATTAACATTTTCTCTGATGTTAATTATGATTTTGGGTATTTTGAAAACACAATTAAGACTCACATTAGATAGCTAACCTTTTCCGTTTTTTCATATATACACATTATAATACAATATAATATAATATATTATCATCCATATAATATTTAAAGTCACAATTTACTTAATAATTGTTTAGTTTGCCCCATTAAAAAAAATATTCGTCCAGTTTAACAGTTAACCAATATGATACAGCTCTCGACTTATATTAATCCATTAGTGTACTACGTTTTTATTCTTTTAATTCAACTTGCACCATATTACCGCTTGTGCAATTAATGTTGATAGTTGGCACTCAACGCCGAGGCACCGACTAGCTTATCTGTCTCATCACATCAACGGGAAAGGGTCGCAATAAATTCCAAGGTGCAATGTATTACAAGATTTAGGAGTCATCTATTTCCCTGACAGGCGGGGACTAGAACTAGGGTAGTTCTATTCTTATCTTCTCTTTTAGTAAATGAAAAATATGTTTTTCTTTATATTTAGTAATATATCTTAGACATCCGCGGTAATAACAATAAGGTATAATTTCATGTTGTGAAATCCCCCCCCAAAAAAAAATTGCAGAGTAAACCATTAAAAATTTCACAGTTGCTAGAATTAATTTCTGACGATTTAAAAAAAAAAAACACTTTAAAATACACATATTTTAGCCATATACTAAACTTTTCAAAAATAGATTTATACTCTTTTGATGGAAAGGGAACTCACATCACAATATAAAATTACATATTCTGATTATATATATCCATTTATTTAAAAAAAAAATTGAGAATTATCAAAAACTCATGAATTTTAATATCTTGATAACCGAGGTTGTGGATAGATGGATAACCGAGGACGGAAAGTTCTCCAAGGATATTGTCAAGAAAACAGCAAGAGAAAAGCTGATAATTGTAGCACTAAATTCTGTGTTATAGAACAAGCAGATAAGTCTCCAAAGGAAAAAGGTTATATAATTCATTTTAGGAAAGCTTAATTCTAAAGGTACCTGAAACGTGAGTGATCTCCATAAAGGAGGAGGCGAGACTACTATCATTGGAGATGTACTTATGGATACGCTATTGTGCCATTTCCAGAATGAACCACGCTCCCAACAAAAATAATAATAAAAATCTGTATCGATAGTACCCTTATGAAATTCTTAAAATTCAATGTTAGATAGATTTGTGAAACTGGTTCCGTAAAGTAAAAGTCGTAATGATAATGATTCAATTTTTTAAACCTATGTAATTTTCTATACCATTGACATTTGCGTAGGCATTATAAGAAAAAGTGCCGCCATTTGTATCAAAATTTTCGTATTAATAATTTAGTAAAAACTATATTTTCAAATTAATGAGGTTCTCGGCAACAATTTAAAATTATAATGAATTTGCTGAGGAATGAAAGAAGCGTCGAAAAGATGAAAGCAATTAAGAAAAATAAAAACACAACCTCGTTCTTAGCCCGTATCAAAGGGCACAGATAAGGAGAAACACAAACTATTTTTAAAAAGTATTAAAGGAAATCCTGACCATCTTTAAACATGGCGCTATTCAACTTTTATTTAGAAGAAAGAGCTACGACCACCTTCAAAGAGAAGCTATATTTATACTTGAAGTACTTTGGCCCGGCTTGAAGAATTTATGAGTAGAGTAGACTATTTATAATCGAAACAGTTACCAGTTCTAAGAATTATTCCATCGCTTTATATAAATATAATTTAAATTTATTTTCATTGGTTACATGGATATAATTTATTTATTTCTGACTCATTTCACTCAGAGAGTGGGATAGCTCAGTGGTAGGACGCTAAGCTTCCAATGCTCAAGATTCTAGGTTCGAGTCTGGCTTATGGTGGATAAATCATTAATTCTGCTTCAATGGGCTAGGAATGATCCTGGTGTCGGGAGACCCTCCTGGGGCAAATCCAACCTGTCTAAAGTGATTACCCTTACTTAAATAGTCGATTAAGAGGAAAAACCTGGCGGTTGAGCGTGATATCGGCCAAATCATCTCCTTGCACGATGGTTGATCAGGAAACAGTACATCCTTAAAACGTACTGAGCCCTTCATGTGTTGTAGTGGTGGAGGTTTTTTTTTTTTTTTCAAGTCACTAATCATACAAAATTACTAAAATACACTGTCTTCTAATACTAGTGATGCGGCTGGAAAAGTGGCGCTGGGATCTTCCGGAGTCTTGCTTTGCCTTCCACGTGTAGTGGAAAAAGCCTGGCTCGGAGATTCTTGGGCGAATGTATATATTGTATATAGGCATGATTGTGTTTAGAAGTTTTTATTTGTATATTTTATTTTTTTTTTATTTAACTTCTTCACCAGTATTATTTATTTACTTCTTATATTTATATTTATTTTTTTATTATTTGTATATATTGTATGAATGAGAACTTTTAGCCCTAATGCTTATAGCCCTCCAGCAGTGGCTGATTGTATTATTATTCAATAAACAGATTAAAAAAAAATACACTATATTAACAGTTTTACACATGTTTGGTCGGAACATAACAAACGCACACATGGAAACCAATTAAGATTAAAGAATAAAAAAAGGTATATATAGATAAACGTCAGAACGCAAAAATGAAACACAATATTTCTTAATTTTTAAGAAAAATAGATATACAGATACCCTACAGTAGACAGATATGCACATATATTGAACTGTAAACAAATGTATTAGAAGGTATACTTTGTCAATTCAATAATGTTTTTTATTTTATTTTTTCTACAACTTAAGAAGTCTTATCACCAACACCCAAAAACCATTGCTCCCTGTCCATCCAATCTCCTTCACGAATAAAAATAATAAATCTTCGAGCGGATTCATTCAGGTGAAATACAATAAAAACAGATTTAAAAAATAAATAGTTTAAAAAAATTATTATTTTTCTTTAATTTAATAAAGTGGTACAGTTTTTTTTTTTTAATTTCACTTTATTTTTCATGTGTATAATTTTTTATTTTCTTTTTTAATCATCATCCCTTGAAGTTTTTTTAGATTAATATTTAAAATTGAAAACTTGGAATGTTACAACAGCTTTTTAGTTAAAATTGACTAAGCTGAATTAGTATCTAATTCCGTAGGTTTTACACGTTTTTTAGAATTTTTTCTTTAACAGCTATAATAATTTTGATTTACGTCGCCATATTGATGTAGAATTAAATTTTCTTACATTTCTAATAGAAAATAATCGATTGAAATAGTCTATATCTTTAAAAAAATTATTATTTTAGAAAAAATAAATAAAATTTTGGTGGTATGATAGTAGTTACGGATAATTATTTTAGAACTTAATATTATTAACGAAATATAATAATAAAATTATAAGTGGTGATTATCTACAAATGACATAAATTTATGTTACATTAATGAATTCCCATAGCATATTATTCTCATTATAAGAATTAATCATGTTTTGCAGATGGAAGGTCCTTCCCAACCCCTGATCCGCCTCATCGGGGAGTGGTCGGAGACGTTCCCTTACGACTTCAGGGACGAGCGGGTCATGTCCCACGTGAGGGAGGTGGCGGAGTCCTGCGTCGGCCTGGAGGAAGACACCAGAGGAGAGGTGTCCCTAGTCCTCCAGTCCTTGCTGGAGAAGTTGACCAGCCTGGAGCGGTACGAGGCCTACATCCACAGCGTGCGGGCCCACGCCACCGCCAGCCTAGGCTCTCTGTCTCAGGTCAGTCTTTAGCTTTCGTTAATATTATTCTATATAAGAAAAATTGTTTATATCATATCTATGAATACAATTAACTGTGATCATCCGCTTATAATGTACTAACTTCGCGAATTATTCTTCAGTTTCACTTATATATAGTTAACGAATCGGAGGCAGTGAAGACTTTATAAGTAATGGTTTTATCCATAATATCTCTTACAAATAGCATCTAACATACAGAGTAATATACTGTGGATATATGGTTTGACTACACGAGTTCACTCCAGGTCTCCTACAGTGAAGAGTGTGACTTCAAGAATGTAACTGTATGAGTGATTAGTCTAGAGAAGCATGGGGTTTATATGCCCAAGAATAGTAAGAGGGTGAAGGAAATTCGGAAGAGGAGGGCAAAGGAAGTTATCAATAGTTAATATTCTTAAGATGAGGTCTGTGAGAAAGTCCTTTTGCTGAAATCGGTTATTGTTCCCTAAGTCTTGATAATGAGTCTTCTGTCCGGTCGGTACATTCTGGATAACTATTTCTAATCCATCAGAGATAGCTTGACCTGGCTATCTAGGGATGCTTGTTTCTTTTATCCGTTAAGTCGTGAGAAACTAATACATGATAATACATGATTCACCAATTGGGATATTTAACAAAATAAAAGTTAAATTAATACCATTATTTTTTTTACGGATTAAGACCATTGCGTAACTTATGTATAAATTGTGATCGTGAAGAACTTAAAAAAATTTAAAAGTAAAAGCATGAACTGAATTCCAGCAGATATGTCCCATTAGATGTGAACAGAGTAGCTTTAAAACGAAAAATAATACGAACCTTCCGTTGTGTTTTGAGCGTCCCGCTCTAGATGTTTAATATTTTTTTTATCATCTAAATATTTGCTAAGTGCCTTATTCCCATTGATAAAAAAAAAAATATAACAAAGCTGATAACAAGAGATCAATACTGTTTGTTTATGATAGTTTGAATAATATTTGTACATTATTAGCATACAAAGCAGTTGGAAGCAGAAAAAAGTTACTAGATAGTTCTAGTTTACAGTATTATTATTTCAATAAAATTGTCTGCACCATGTAAAATTAAAATTAACGAATGTGAAACGTTGAATAAGTTAACATAAGTTACTTTAACATGATGCCGACGAAATATGCACTTATCACTTATAATTGTAAAAATATTGATAATTAAATAAGTCCACTTTGCACTTATTCTGAAAACGTAAACAACCATTATATCTGTAAATTAGTTATTGAATCGCATTATTCCAAGTGTTTCCGTAGTGTAGTGGTTATCACGTGTGCTTCACACGCACAAGGTCCCCGGTTCGATCCCGGGCGGAAACAGGTGTTTCTTTTATTCTTTTTCCTTAAGTGAAATAATTATTTATACTTATTTAATACTAAAAATTATATTAGTGCAGAAATATAAATGTAAATCTGCTTACAACATTAAGGGGTGGTGCTGATGAAATTTTTGAAAAGATTTCTATTATAATAAACTCTCGTAAAATGTTTTTTGTATAAGCAGCCTAGGTCAAAAATGAAAAGTCGGATGAAAGTGAAATTATGTAAGGTCTGCATAAGTATGGCATGTTTCTAAAATGTTTCCATTAAAAATCAGAATTACCATTTTATCTAATTAATTTTAGGAATATCTCGAAAAAGCTCGAACTATGAAGAATAGACTCATCATGATTAATGTTATATAAATGTACATTTAAATTTTTTTTTATATCAGGTAGAGCTAATCCTGATTGGTATATTCATGTAAGAATTAAATGCCGGATTAGTAAAAATGGCTTCCTCTAAAGCACCTTATCTACGTTATTTTTAAAAATAATTAATAGGTTAGTGATGATGATACATGGCTAAATATTAAGAATTTGATGATTACCATAAGGAGAAAAAATGGAATTATTTTTCCAGGTTGATTTCTTTTTTTCACTGTAAGGTTAGTAATATATATACCGACTTCCTAGAGTTCAAGGGCAGAGCCAAATCGTTCTAGATCCATGGGTAATGGCTGCTCGGAGCCAGCAGAAACACAGGAACTGTTTCTTCCATGAAGCAGACTTTCCATGGACCGAACCTCGGGAGGCTATTGAAACTTGATACGCATCATGATGCCCGTATATGAGTTAGAGTCATCACTTCTTCGTCACTTCTACTCCGGTTCTTATTCACTTCTACGTCCGGTCGATATAATTTTTCTCCAGTAGACTGACGGTCTTACTTGCCAGAGGAGAACTCGGAAAGCATGGTTTCCTCCTAATTCAGACTGCCACCCATGAAACTTTATATTTTACTGTCGTTTCGCGCTCGAAGCTGCTCAGCTTTAATTACCAATCTCAAGGTTCTTCTCCTCCTCCATCATAAACCAAACATTTAGTCGTAGGAGATAATAGAGAGTGATAAAAAAAACTAATGAATAATTAGTTCTGGTAACTAATATTATTTTCTTAACCATCCGAACCCTCTTGTTTCCAATCTTTCTTTTTCTTCTATTCCTGATGACCCTCCAAGGCGTCTAAAAAGAAGATGGCCTCCTGACCTTCTAATATAGAACTTTAATTTGAGTTCTACCAATGGGTAGTTTCTCCCCACTTTGTACATGTCATTTGAACAATTTCACATTTATGAGGAGGAATTAGTCGAGGGTGCGGTCAAAAAAATAAAAAAAATTAAAATATATAAATAATTTTAATTTTTGCCGACGTTTCGACCCACTTTGCAGGTCGTCTTCAGGGCGTTGGATGTGGCACTGCGGGAGGCGGTTGAAACACTGAGTTTTGTGAGGCGGTTGAAACACTGAGTTGAGTGTTTCAACCGCCTCCCGCAGTGCCACATCCAACGCCCTGAAGACGACCTGCAAAGTGGGTCGAAACGTCGGCAAAAATTAAAATTATTTATATATTTTAATTTTTTTTATTTTTTTGACCGCACCCTCGACTAATTCCTTCTCATATCATATCAACGGTCAACCATCTCTACATCATAATTTAACATTTAGTTATTGTATTAAAAATATTTTTAAGATTGATCCACCAAAAATATATATTGCTTCGCATTGATGTTCTGTAGTTTTATAACAATTATAAAATTGTTATTATTAATAAAATTTATTATTATTTCATCGTTATTATTATCACAATTATTTCGTGGAAATATTGTATGCTGCTAATAATATTTAAAGCAGTATTTATGTGTCGATAAAAAATAACCTGCCATCACTTAAGTTTAATAACTTTAATGTTAACGAGCCCTACTTGAGCAGACATTTTATTATTTAATTAGGTCTTTTTGTGAAAGTTTCATGTTGCACGCCATACAAGGAATATTCTTTTTTATAACAAAATTTCATACTAACGGCATTGCATTACGTAATTTCAATGCGTTATATCACCCTCCTTAAATACAATTATTGACGATCATTCCACTCCAAATGGAACGTGGAACTACCGTGAACATGGAATCCTGTATAGATTATTCGGAGTGTTGGGAAATGGCTAGAATTCCTAGGTCCTAAACTCCATCACGCCATGCCAAAATTCAATCATTTCCATCTAGCGGAATTGTGGTTAACTAAATAAATGAAACATTGGACTGTATAGTGTTTCACAAGTCCTTAGTCTGTGATATATTATTAATGTAAACAGGTTTTCCTCTTGATATACAAAACCAAGTTGTGATAACATAATGATAAATCTGATTTTATAAATGTGCTATTGATTCTATTCAACATATAATAAAAGGCTGCATCAGATTAGCAGGAAGAAAATATCTAAAAAGGCATATTGACATGAAAAATCTAATTAGCTTATATCTGATCAAATATCATAAATTTACTGAGTGACGAAACCTTACTATCGATACACCACTCAGAATATCCTTTCTGATAATTAAACAACAAGATATATATATATATATATATATATATATATATATATATATATATATATATATATATATATATATATATATATATATAAACAAAGATATCGTTTGATTCGCCTATAGTTTGAAGATGGCTCGTTCGATTCGACTCTGACTTTAAAGAAATTTGGAAAATAGTGTACAAAGTTCCTAGTTTCTATTCCATTAAATTCTATTTCTATTTTAAAATTAATATCAATAATTTTTAAAAATATAATGGCTATAACATATGTCCTCCAGTTTATATTGACAACAATCAAATTCCTCAAACGGACACGGTACTTTACCTTGGACTCACCTTCGACAGAAGAATGACATGGGACCAACATGTTAAAATGAAACGCATGACACTTAACAAACGACTCAAACTACTTTACTCTCTTTTTGCCAAATCTTCAAAACTAAAACTAAAACAGAAACTGAATACATATACATACTTACTTAAGCCCATATGGACATACTCATCACAAATATACGGCATCGATAAAAAGACCCACCTACAAAAACTTCAAACGTTCCAATCAAAATTATTGCGACTCATAACAAAAGCACCTTGGTACGTGACTAACAAAACTCTACATACTGACCTCCACTTTCCAACAGTTGACCAACATATAACGACCCTATATCAACGATTTTACACAAATTTAAATGGACATAATAACAGACTTATAAGAGACATGTCCACAACTGACATACCTCAGAACATGAGCAGGAGACTAAAAAGGCGTTGGATGAGGGATCTCCTTCCTTAGAACACCTAAGTAATTGGAACAAGTTAGGGAAGAGGTATTGCTGAGTACTTTTCTTCCCCATGCCTGTCATGTCATTATATCATTATCGCCATCACATTTGCTGATTGTCAACAGGCGCAAATACATATTTTATAGACAAAAAAAAAAAATTTAATTGTACTCTGTTGTATATTTCTTGTTTGTTTCTGTTGAATTTCAACCGGTTCCAAGGATAAGGAGTTATATAGGAATGCTTTAGTTGACGGCCGGAAAACTGATCCAAGAAAATTAAGCACTAAAGATTGTATTTTTTCCTTTATATTACAATTCGTATTTAAGAGTT